CTTGGAAGGAGAGCTCAGTCATGCACTAAGGTTAGGAAGTGGTTTAGAAATATTCATCTCTCTGTTTAAACAAGAGACACAACTCCCCAAAGAAGTTTGAGACTGGTTGAAATATGGGGGATGAGGATTGGGGTGCTGCTTGAAGCCATGTTGACTAATCAGTATTGTTCTGAGAGAATAAGCAAGGATCCACGAGTGTTGCCATGCCTGGGTCTCCCTCAGTCCCTGTCCCCACAGCTATGGGTTCCATGCTTCCCTGCCCTCACCCCACAAGGCTACCAGCTCTGCATTCTCAAACAGGACACAGATTAGATTCCTGTGGATGACCCTGAAGCTATCACAGACAGGGACTGGTTTACAGGCCTTGTTTTATGGTGTTATCTTCCTTTCCCAGGCCCCGTTCTGGGTGTCCTCTCATTATTTATTGCATAACAGGAATGTTTTTCTTCATCGCCTCCATGTATATAGTCCCGAGAACCCTAGACTTCCCCTCAGGCTGGATGAGGCATTTCTGGCAGCTCCACAGCTTTGTTTTGATGCTTCATCAAGCGCTCACCACGCATATTTGTGTGAGCACCATCTTGAAGCTAGGAGGTCACGTCTCAGAGTAGAAAGCCATGGGAGAGAACAGCTTTTTTGACCCATTCAGTCAGGGTTGGGAAGGCCTGGCCTAGCTTCTCTAATTACCACCCTCTCTTCCTCTCTCCCTCTCCTCCCTTCCAGCTGTGAGGACAACACATTTCCTCAGAGGGCCAGCACATTTTTTTTTTTTCTGTCTGCAAAGGACACATTCCAATGAGGGCAGATCCTAAACGTCTAGAAATTTCTTTTTAGCGTCTCTTTTCTTTCTATACCAGGAATCCCACCTACCTTGGCCTTCATGCACCCACATGCTTGCTCCCAAATTTTCCCAGGCTGAGGTTTGGCCCCTCTGGCTGTCTGTCTCCAAAGTGACAACTATTCCATCAACCCTGCATTCCAAAGCCCCTGCCACAGGGGATGGAGAACAGCCAAACACTCCAAGCAGCTTAAGCTGAAGAAACACTGGTAGACCCAAGAATAAAATGCAGCTCCGAGGAGAAAGCTCAACTCTAGCCACAAGTGGCTGCTCAGATTTGTGGCAGTTGAAATCTTTATGGAGCCGACAGCACCGTCCCTAGGTTGTGCTAGCCGCATTTCAAGCGTTCAACTGCCGAGGGTGACCGGGAGCTGTCACACCGGGCAGTGCAGGACCCACGCATTCCCATCACCCAGCAAATCCACCATCAGTGGTGGTCTGTAATCTGCCGCCTTCCTCATTGCACCTGGGGTCTTAAGAGTCTAGTTCTGAGCTGCCTTGGGGAGCCTGGCTCCCTTTGTGACTAACAGTGGCCCTGAGGCTTTGTCTTCTCTATGGTAAGGAGCGTTGCTTTCACCTATGTGGTCCATATTCTGATACAGAATTTTATTCTCAGATTCATGATGGGAATCTGCATTTTGGTTCTTAGTAGAACTGCTCAAGTGAGAGTGGGTGCCGCCGTCCACTGCCAGCACTGACAATCCAGGAGATTTAAATAAAAATCCATATGAATGTGCAATGGAAAGGTCCAGGGATCTTAAAGGAACAGCTTTATTTTCATATTTAGTAAATGACCAAGCGAATCGGCACAAGGCTTAGCAGAGCAGTGCTGGAGTGCCAAGTCTGTTTATGAACACGGGCTCTGTGCATGTCTTATGCCTCCACGTTATCCCGGGAGGAACATCCGTGGGTGGTAACAGCAGCCGTGACTACGGCAAGCCTCCGCCAGTGATCACTCAAGTCAGCCTCCTGCATCCGCCTTCCGCACTCGCTCCTTTTTATAGGCCATCTATACAGTGTGGTGACATTTTTATTTTGCTGCCCAGCGATTCCTAGACTTTCTCCGTCCTGAGTTCCTCCCCTGGGGTGTGCATGGTGATGCTCCACAGCTCCTGCAGCTTGAGCAGGAGGTGCTATGGCATTTCGCTGCATCCCTCTTCACCAGCAGCTGTTGCTCTACAGCTCTTTGGGTCTCTTTTGGCTCCAGGTTACCCGGTGTTCCTGGAAGCTCTTGGACATGTATCAAGGTGGTCAAAGGTTGCCCGAACGCCTGGCAGAAAACACACGGAGCTGAGATGACTGCCCCCTGAAGACATGGAGGCTTTCCACCGTGTTTTTACCCAACTCCTAAGGCTCTCCCCTCAGCTTCTGGGTGTCAGCTGTGGCTGGTCCTGTGAGAACCTGCTGTTCAATCAGCACAGGGAAGGAGGTCACTGCTTCCTGTGAAGGGCCTGGCTGGACTTTTGAGGGTCACACATTGCCTTGGAGTGAGTGGGCTGGCCAAGGATGCCCCAGGTATAGCCTGCCAGATGTGTCTGTGAGAGCAGAAGGGACCGAGCAAGGTTCCCAAAACACAGCCTCACTTAGGAGCTGCCATTCTGCCAAGGGAGGAGCCAAGGTAGTGCCCGAGCCTGTCCCAGCCTGGGAGGAAGTGGAGGTCTTCCAGAGAGGCTGGAATGCGGTGGTCACATGATGCATTTCTCTGACTGGAGGTGACTGGTGTTGGCTGCATGCTGAAGACCATCTTTCCCTTTGGTTCCCACACTTGATATTCCCAGTTGTTGACTGCATAGTTGCTCTGATCCACTCCAGCTCTGCATTCTTTTTATTCTTTCTAAATATTATTTTTCCCAACATAACATTTTTATTGATTATTTGGGAATTCATATCATATACCCCGATCACATTCACTTCCTAGTCCACCCAGGCCTGTCCCCAACCCTTGTCAGGTCCTCCTCCAAGAAGAAGAAGAAGCAGAAGAAGAAGAAGAGGAGGAGGAGGAGGAAGAAGAAGGGGAGGAGGAGGAGGAGGGAAGGGAGGGCAAAGAGGGGGAGAAGAAGTAGGAGAAGTAGGAGGGGGAGAAGGAGGAGGAAGGGGAGGAAAAGGAGGGGGAATAGGAGAAGGAGGGGGACGAGGAGGAGAGGAGGAGGGGAAGGAGGAGTGGGGGAGGAGGGAGAGGAGGAGGGGAAGGAAAAGAAAAAATCACAAGTCCAATTTGTGTTGCCCATCTACTCACTGGAGCATGGTCAAACTCCCAGTAGCCAGCCCCTTGAAGAAAACTGAGTCCTTCCCCACCTGCACCCCTGCAGAAGCCCCCAGTTTTGAAGAGCTACACTTCAGCATCCTTATCACAATTTCTAAGAGTTCTCTTTGATGGTTTGCTGTCTAGGCTATTACTTCTTTAGGGGGTGGGAGAGTGGATATAGAAGTTGTCACAGAAACCTTCTATGTCCCTCTTTCTCAACTGTGAGTCTGCAGTTATCAACACCACTTCAAAAGCAGCTTTCTTGCCTTTTACAGTCAGCGTGAGCACAGTTCATGGCCTTCCACAAGGTCTCTAGCGTCAGCACATGCCACAGACCTCTGCATGGTCTCTGATGGCCGTACAGACCATGGACCTCAGCAGGACCCTCTGCTGCAGCACAGGCTATGGACACCATCCCAGCCCTCGGCAGCAGCACAGGCCAAGGACACCAACACGGCCTCTGGAGGAATACTGGCCGTGGACCCCAATATGGTCCCCGATGGCAGCCTGGCCCACAGACATTAACATGAAATCAGGTGGCAGTGCAGGCCACTCACATCAACATGGCCCTTAGCAGCAGCATGGACCACACACTACATCATGGTCCTCGGCAGCATCACAGGTCATGGACATCAACATGACTACCATGGACATCTGCCTGACCTTCAGTGGTAAAACGAGCCACAGACATAAACAGGAACCCCAGCTGTAGCAAGACCATGGACCCCAACAAGGCTTCAGGTGGCAGCACAGACCACAGACATCCCCATGGCCTTCAGTGGTAACACAGGCCATTTATGTGTGTGTGTGTGTGTGT